CCGGAGAGGCAACGATGTACAGGCGAGCCAAGATCTTTAAACAGACCAAGCGGGCCACGGAGAGCCTCCCGGGCACAGAGGGCTCTCGGCAGGCTTGGAAGAGCAGCGGTCCGACTGAAGCACAGGCTGCGAGGGGACAAACACTTCTTGTGGTGCCAGTGCCTGTTGGAGCGGTGCCTCTGCTCGCTCCCGCTCCTCGGGCGTTCCCACGCCGCTCTTTGGGAGGCCACGGAGAGGACCGCGGGAGGGGACCAACCTAGCCCAAACCAGAGGCAGGAAGGCTTCAGGAGCAAAGCTGAAGCAGGCTACTTAGCTGTCACTACAGCTGGGAAAAGTCAAACCCAGCCCTGCTTCCAAGCTGGAAATGGTTGCCTAGTAGATAAATTGCATTAAACTTGGAGCAATCTTAAGAAAAAAGCCAGTTAGCACCTGAGGATTAAATTGGGGGTGTTAAGAAGGTGATAAGGTTGTTAACACAATCATACCCCTCTCAGGAAATGGGAGAGGATGCCATTCCCTGGTAATTGCATTTCAACAGGGTTCAAACACAGCCGGGTCCCTGCTGCTGGACTCATGGCAGCTCCTGACCGGGTCATAATTCAGCCTGTCCCTTCGAAGTAAACAGGACGTGACCTACGGGGTGTACAGATCTCCTGAAAGGGACCTTTCAGACTTGCCCTCCTGGTGCTGGAAGGAAGCTACATTGAGTGAGATGAAACTTGGTATTATTTTGGGGATTAATTCCCAGTCAGGGTTCAGTGGAAGCTCGGGAAAGTGTTGCTGACTGGGAACCTTCTTGGCACAGCTAAACCCATTTAGGGTGTGCTACCTACAGAGAAAGAAAACAAAAGAGTCCTTCCCACAACCGTGTTCCTACTGTTGCTGGCACCCAAGCTCAGCTCCTTTAGAGCTGGCAGCTGAAAGCAGCAGCTAGCACGCCAGCTTCATGCAGAATTACACGACATGGTGCGTACCTGTACTGAAATACATGCAGGGTTGCTTGTTCCGGTGGGAAAGCCCTGATGAGTTACTCTGCTGGAGATGCAGGAGTCTGCTGACCAGGATCCAAATCAGAGACCTGAGCAAGAAGGAAGGTACCAGAGAGTTTCTACCCTATAGGTACATTGGGTTTTTTAGCATTTGATGCTGAGCTTTGCGCTATGGAGCAAGTCAGATCAACTAATCACAAGGATCCTTTCTGGCATTAAAGTAAGTGGCACTTGTGTGGAATTGTGCTGGCCTAGTAGTAATGGGCTTGGCTAGCTTCATCCAGCCTGGTGGGGTGGTTGGTGTTAGCAACAGTCTCCAAGGAACTCTCCTGTGCTCTCAGCATCATCTGAAAATACAGGTTGGTCCAGCAGCACTGCAATGCAGAAACAAGCCCAAACTGTACCAGAGCCAGGTAGTAGCACAGGTCCAGTGCTGCACCATGGAGAGGACTAGAGCAAGGCTTCAAAGATGCCTCCCATGGCTTTGGTAGGACACTCCATTTAATGAGAGAGATTCACCCCCACCCCCAGGAGCTCAGCTTTGTTCACTGGTTTCAGGGAGTTTTAGGGTACTTATTGTGCACATGACAGGATATGGCTCAGTGGGATGACTCACGCCACGTAAAGTTAATTCACACGTTGCTGCTATTTCCATTCACAGGTTCTTCTGTAAGCTTTAATGCTGGGAAGCTGCAAAGCTGGGAGCCGGCTCCAAATAATCACAGGTCGCTTTGCATCTAGCAAACAGCAAGCTGCTGGAGGACGGTGTGGTCTCAGGCTTTGTCAAATAATGAAAAAAAGTTCCCAAATCATGTTTTATCAGCAGGA